TGACATGGAAACAACACAAGGTCACATAGTATTTGTTATAAACTGCATAATAAGAAAGAAGCCTTTAGTGGGCTTGAAAATATACTTATTTTGCTCACTTGAGTTTTGAAGGGTTAGTTTTGAATTAGTCATTTCTCTTCAATTTCTTTCTTTTTTGACAAGGTTATGGTATTGCTCAGATGACAATTCAGACAGACAGTGGTGCTGCTGCCAAATTTCCACAAATTTTTCTTCCATTTCTAAGGTCCGAATAAACTGAAAATGAGCAATTTTAACTTCTCCCCAACCTCCCACTGGCCTGCAGATACCCATACTAGGGGATGCTGCTCTCTCATTGGCTGTAGGCGATCGCTGATGTTATTTTCAGTCAGAATTCATTTCACATCATGATTTTGAATCGCAGACAGCTCCAAATATTTTGCATGCCAAATATTCACAGATATCAGCAAGACATTGGCGATTCAGTCAGATCGTGTCTTTGATAGTACACACTGTGTAATTGTTAGTAATGTCAACGACCACCGAACTGAGTGTGATTTCAGGCATTTATCAGTCAAAATCAGGGCTAAAATCATGCAGTCTGAACTCTGCATAGGCCTAATGCACATTACATAGACTCAAAAAACGCTGAGGTGTCAACCCAGGGCTAATTTTGTGCCAGAACACGGCGGATCTGGATCCAGCACCTCTGAAATCTGATCCGCTACCTCTATTTACCAATCTCCCTCCTCAACCAGTTCACTTTGATTTTCTTCCGCGACTCTCCAACCCTCTTCACTGTTATCCGTGACAGCCCTCCACCATCCAACACCTTGCCAAAACCCAACCCCCCACCACACTTTCCACTTTTGTGTGCAACACCTCTACATCCTCGGGTAACATGCCGGAACTGTTACCTCGATCTGTTCCGGGACCTCGCAATTCACAAATTAAGCACTGTGTCAACCCAACGTTGGGTCCAAATATGGACAATTTATTCAAATTAAATTAAAGTTAATGGATCAACCCAGCAATTATTTTAGAGATGAAAAAATGGAAATGTACTCACCCTCGTGTGGTTCCAAATCTCTATGAGTTTCCCTTTTCTGTTTAACACACATACACAAAAGATATTTTGGAGAATGTCAGAAATCTATAACAACTGACCTCATAATAAGAAAAACAAGTACTATTGAATTTAACGGTTACAGGTTGTCAACATTTAATAAAAATAAAAAATATTTTGTGTTCAACAGGAGAAAAAAAAAACACAATTGTGATAAATAAATATTACGTAAATGATGACAGAATTTTCAGTTTTGAGTGATTTAAAGAGATCTCTTACAATTTTCCAATTGTATGGATTTACAATTATTATAGTAGGTTATTCTGTAAACCACTCAAAAAATTTCCTTCCAAGTTCAATATAAGAATCAGGGTTCCCACTCTTTCATAGAAACCAAACTTTTTAAAATCACTAATATTTTAAATCAAGCACTTTTGTAATTGCACCCCAGCATATGTAGAATCATGAAAGTCCTTCCTAAACATTTCACTCACACTTAATATTTACATTAAAATGTCATAATGGTGTTGTTTTGAATGTCTTTTTTAAAAAATGCTGACCACTTTAGACAACCATTTAAAAGTCATGTTTAAAGAACTTTAATACAATTAGTTGAACTCTATACTGGCAATATCCAAATGCAGTTCCTGGATAAAATGCATTATTTACCATAGTTCATGTAAAAGATTGAAATTTAAGTTTTTTTAATCAAGAATTTCTTAGTTTTTTGTTCAGGCTTTGAAAGCAGCACAGTACAGTTGTTGAAATGACACCATAAACTTTCTATTCAAGCACTTTCAAGGACCTGTGTTTGTTTTTGAGCACATTCCAGGTCTTGAATTCGGATGTCTGAAAATAAAGCACTTCCATGAAGCATGGGAAACCTGAAAAAAATGTCATCAAAAGCATTTTTTTCACATAATAATAAAAATAGGTCATTTATATTCACTTTTTATAACATAATACAAATGTTTTAGCTTCAGATGAAATTGGAAATCAATATTTGCTGAAATAACCAATGACAACAAATAAAAGCAATATTCAGAGCAAATTGCCGTTCAATCATTCATTCATTTACTTTTCGGCTTAGTCCCTTTATTAATCTGGGGTCGCCACAGCGGAATGAACCGCCAACTTATCAAGCATATGTTTTACGCAACGGATGCCCTTCCAGCTGCAACCCATCAATGGGAAACATCTACACACAATCATTTACTACAGACAATTTAGCTTACCCAATTCACACGACTTTGAACTGTGGGGGAAACTGGAGCACATCAACACAGGGAGAACAAGCAAATCCACCAGAAATGCCAACTGACCCGACCAAGGCTTGAACCAGCGACCTTCTTGCTCTTGCTGTGAGACGATCGTGCTACCCATTGCGCCACCGTGACACCCCAGACCAAATTGTAATATTCTGAAATAAATACTCTAATTTGCTCAGTTCAAATGATTTCTAGGAGGAAAGAGTGACGTGATGTTAGTAGCTGACGTAATGAGCAATGAATCATCTGAACCAGCTGAGCTGCAGGATCATTATTAATCATGGTGATGATGATCCCAATCACCTGTGCTTCATTTGCATGCTTGTAAAGGGAGCAAAGATGGCAGTCTGAAGTTGCTCTAATTATAGGCAGGGTATATACAGATAGATGTTTATGGCATAAAACATTGTTCACATGTATTTTTGAAGACTGGAGAGAGTGTGTGTGTGTCGAGCTTGTTTGCTTTAATGTTAAAGTCTGATTCTTCAGCAATGCCGTATGAAACTGCCTAACAAACTCGAAGGATCCACTGAAATTCACTAATAAATAAAATATCGCACCTTTTTTACCCACAGTGCAGCTCGTGCAATAAAGGATTTATATAACTTTTATACAGTTAAAAAGTTCTTACATTGTTTTTGCCAGTTACTGTACTACTTTTCTGAATTAAATATAACTTCATAAGATTTTCATGACTAATAGATAGTTTAGAATAAAGTTTGTCCCAAATCACCACATTAAATTGAGAACACAACAATTGTGATTATGGATCATTATGGATTTTTTTTTCTGTAGACTATCTAAAAAGAAATAGCTTAAAGGGGCTAATAATTTTGTCCCTAAAATGTTTTTCAAAACATTTTAAACTGCTTTCTGTTTAAAAACTGATTCGAGCCTGAATCCCGACTTTGATCCTGCCTTTGAACTCTAGCCTGATTACCGACTTTGATACTAGCCGCCTGCCTCTGACCCATGCCTGCATACTCATCCTGTGTTCACCTGCCGCCAACCCAACGACTACATACTACTGTGTTTGATGTGAGTTAGCGCACGCACAACATATGTGTGCTATTGTTTATTAAACTGTTTAATAAAAATACTGAAAATGGATCCCTCTGTGTCAGCCACTTTGTTATATATATATATAGGCAAAACTAAATTAAAACCCACTATAAAATGAATCGTCCTACAATATAGAGAGGTCTTATGAAGCAAATCTGAGGATTCCTTGCCAACTTCATAAGACCTAAATGTGTAGTCATAAGGATTTTATTCATATTATTAATATTAGCTTCCAAAATGGTGTTAGCCGTTGGAAGAGTAAGAGTTGGCATAAGAAACCTGTTTGTGAAAGAACAATTTTAAAAAGTAAAATGTATTATTATAGGTCAGATATTAGTGAATGAGGTGAGTGTAAAATAACAACAAAACGTGTACAGCATTAACTTTAATAAGATATACTGTATAGCCTATTATTATTTCCCACATGATTAATCTGAAAACTTTATTTCATATGTTAGTCTTAACGCTGACAGAAAATGTAACAATGCTTTTAAAGTATGTTTTTAAGCTATAGTAAGTTAAAGTTCACAGCAACTCTTGTTTATATTTTGACTTTTATATTAGCCTTTATATTAGTTTTTGTTTTGTTTTTGTTATTTATCCAAGAAACTATAATACTATAATGCAAACAGTAAAAGAGAACAGTGTTTTTCCACAATATACACATTAGATAAACAGGAAAGAAGAGCAAAACCAAAAATTAAATACATACAATTAAATTGCAATAAACAAATTGTACAGTAAAAAATAAGTAAAACATATTAATTCAAGTAGCATAAAATATCTCATATTTTTCAGAATAAGAAGCACATTTCTTAACACTAATTAATTTAAGTGAATTGATGAAATGTTCTATTTCACATAAGAAGTCTATAAGAGCTGATAGTTTTAAAGTAACCTTTATTTGTAAAAGTAAAACTTCCCAGCAAGTACAAGAAAATCCACAGTATAGCTTCTAACGCCTTGTTTTGCTTTTCAAAATAACAAAAACCACTGTTAAGGTGCAAATAACAACTCATGTTAACCTTGGAGAAGCAATATGAATTTAAATCATTCCAAAACAATGATGATATATTGCATTAAAAAAGTGACAAATGTCTTCACACTCGTATCGTAACATCACAATATTTGGACAAGAGTGCATCCCTGCCTTAAGTTTTCAAAACATCCGAATAATTTGCACGTTGAACCCTGTGATTAATGTTCGACAGCGATGATGACTATCACAATGAATCGTGTCCTAATTAAATACTACGCAGTGTTGTCATTCAGCACATTAAATATTAATAATCCACCCTCTCGTCACAAGTTTTCAAAACAGCGCTATGAATGCAACACACTGTGATTAGTGTTCACATATCAGCGCACTACACACTGAACACCAGACTCACTCAGCACTGACAGCCCATCACAACACACGCGCGCTTGAAGCTCTCTTGTGGATCCGGGAGGAACTCTAATGCATTTCTCTGGACGTAGGTGGCATTTTTTTTCCTTGTTGGAAGAATTCAACTGACATACTAAACTACTGCTCTACTACCCTGAATCCCTCTGCTGAATCGGGTCACTCACTTTACTAACCTTCGGATGCTATTGAGAGTCACCATGTTGGGAGTTGACTTGGAAAAGAAATGAATTCTTTTAATGAAACACCGACCGAGGCTCACCTGGAGAATTATAACTACATTTTCGCCGACGAGACTTACAAACTCCTGACTTTCACCATCGGATCTATCGGAGTGCTGGGATTTTGTAATAACATCATTGTTATTATTCTGTACTCCAGATATAAGAGGCTCCGGACGCCGACTAATTTGCTGATCGTCAATATAAGTGTCAGCGACCTGCTGGTGTCCCTGACTGGGGTTAATTTCACATTCGTCTCGTGTGTGAAGAGGAGATGGGTCTTTAATTCTGCCACATGTGTTTGGGATGGATTCAGCAACAGTTTATTCGGTCAGTTATGTCTCTATTTATTTATCTAGAGTCACATGAGGAAGTTTTAATGTTAAACTTTATGAGACAAATTAAGAAAGAAATGCGCATATATTTACGCGTTTGAAGGCTACTTGGTTTCTAAAGATGTTTGGCGGTTATTATCAGTGAATTATCAAGTGTAAAATAAAAACAAACCATTTATCACAACTTTGATATGATATTAGGTTATGATACTGCTTTGATATTAGTCCTATTAATATTTCACACACGGTTAATCTGAAAACTTTTATTTAATCTGTTGGTGTTACGAAGCTAAATGGAGACAAACAAATATAATCAACATTAAATAATGTATTTAAGCTATAGTAAGTTATAATTTACATCTATTATTTTATTATATTTTGGCTTTTATATTAGCCTATATTTTGACTATGCAAATCAAACCATAGTGATATAACCAGGTCAGCATTATTAACATACTACAGAAACAAACCCTTGTCTGTTTATGTGAAGAAGTGAAACACTGGATATATTAAATATTAACTAGCCGTATTATTGAGTTTGTGGGAAATGTAGCTATACCACAGCTGTCAGACAATGCATGCTGGAAATGAATTGTTATTTATATAATGTCGGCTTGTCAATGCAGGAGTTTCTGAATGGGCGCACGAGACGTAACCTACATTTGTCACTCGCCACAGAACTCAGCGGAGCAAGGCGCGAAGCCAGTCTGACAGCATTTTGATTAATGTGTAGAAGTCGGATGTATGAAAAAATATGCAAATTACATAGGCTATAAATGACATACAAGTTCATATTTGGATTTCACGTGTATAAAATATGTCAAATATGCAATAGGCCTATATTTTAAAATTTTGGCTATATATAGGCTACCTTATGATAACACATATCCTATATATTTAAACATATTTGTAATTAAATAGGTGAATTATATATATATATATATATATATATATATATATATATATATATATATATATATATATATATATATATATATATATATATATATATTCAGTCAGTATGATTTTAAATGTTTTAAAATAAGCTTATCCTGCTTACCAAAGCTGCATTTATTTAATCAAAAATACAGTACACATTGTAAAATTGTGGGGAAAAAAATTGTGAACTGTTCAAAAGTAGTTTATAATTTAATTTAATAATTTATTCCAGTGATTTTAAAGAATTATCAGCTTCATTACTCGTCTTCAGAGTCACATGATGCTTCAGAAATCACTCTAATATTATTATTAAGTTATATTAATATTATTATTAGAGTCCCATTATAATAATAATATTATTATTATTATTATTATTATTATCATCAATGGTAACAGTAATAAAAGCATTAATGACTATATAGTAATATTTTCATTTGAAACTACATACAATAAGAAATTATTTACATTTTTATAAATGTGTAACATTTTAACAAATTTTAAAAATATATATAAAAAAACATGAAAAAACAAAGCAATGTTTTGAAATATGTTGCATAAATGACTTATATTTTAAATATGGGAAATCCAAATATGAACTTGTGTCTTATGTAATTTGTTTATATGACATACATCAGATTTATATAGTCCATTTATATAGTCTATAATCTATTTAAAAGCATTTAGATAATCCGCCAGTAGCCTATAAATAGGAAATAAACCATGTAGAAGAGACAAATGCAGCAATATTATACAGATTATAAAGCTTAAAATTATTTTGAAAGCATGGCTCCATTTATTGAAAAATTGTATAGTTTATATTGAGATCTATGGATATGAGACCTATTGTTGCATATATTTTTGAATCTACGCAAATTCTGGGGGACAGTGATACTCTTGTTTTTAAAACTATAAAGGGGCATATATGAAACTGTAGACATTTCTTAGGATGAAAATCTTACACATGCACATTTCACAATTTTTTCTGTCTTTTAGTCTGTCATGCATCATCATCATGTGTGATCTTATTCAAGTTAATACTGCACAGCATAAATCAAATGATCAAAAGAGTATGATTTATAAGCTTCCCTATTTAACTTTATTATATATCCCCAACCTTTGTGCTCAGTACTATACAGTGAAAACCAAGTGCCTGTAAACAACTATGGCGCACTTACTAAAATAAAAGTCCATCTGGCATATAGGGAAAGATAAAGTTGAATAGACTCAGATAATGCCACTTTAATGGACTGGAAACAATAACCAGCAGAATTTCTGCAAGGCATCTATGAGAGGATACGCTTTAAGAAGAGCATCATAATCTCATTCATGAAAGATAGATGGTCAAGTTCTGCACCTGCACCCCCAAGGTCACCCCTAATGCTTTTCCAAGTTCAAAAATGATCATCATCACACATGATTGCTTTTGTACAGCCCCGTCTGACCCATTTAGATGTGAACTGTCTGCTTTGATGCTTCTACAAACCGTTGTTTGATGAGGCATTTGTGTCTCTGACCTCCATTTTGGCTCCACTGAGAATTGACTCATTTACATAAACACAGCGTTGATGGAAACTCACGGGTGTAATCCTGCATCGTTTTCCCACATAGAATTTACAAAGCCTGATTCTGCGAGAAGTAAAAAGAGATGTGAGTAAGTACATCTGGCAGACGTGTGTGTTAGTGCTGCCTCCCCGCCGGCCTGCCTCTGTCACTAAGGACTGTGGATGTCTGGGTAATTGGGGAAATGTGTCTCTGAGACTCTGTCCAAGAAAGAGTCTATACGGATTCTGCAGTTCAAAGATTATTTGCTTCATAAGAAGAAATGATAGAGATTACTGAAATCCATCATCTGCACGACTGTATGTGACCTTGATTTCATGTAATAGAGTGAAGGCACATTGTTTGTGTTTTAAATTATTTGTGTTGCACTGTTTCAACACTGTAAAAATGAGTTGCTTTCATTAATCAATTTACTTTTTCAATTGAAGTTAGGTCAACTTAAGTTACATTTACTAACTTAAAACATTTAGTTGAATCTTGTATAACATAAATAATAAACTGAAACACTGTAAATTTGTTTTAATAAGGGAAGGGAAGATAAAAATGTTAAGATTTATATCATTCTTAGAGTGAAGGCAGCTTTACAGAAACAATATTGTAATATCTCAATTGTTGAGGATTTGAACTCAATTGGTTTACATTAGGGTTGGGCATCTCAGCTATAATGCCGATCCGATACGCATCTCGATACAAAGAATACGATCCGATATATTAGCGATACATTTGTGACATTGCGATGCAACACGATACGATTCACACCCATATTACGATACAATGCGATAATTCAGCACTAACTAATTAGATCAAGTTTATGAGATGATGTAAGAAAGGATGCTGTGCCATTGAATGAGTTTGATTATTTATTAACCAAGTAAAACCAAGACTTTTTTTACAAACTGGCTTTTCTCTCAGAGCCAGAGTGTCAGTTTACAGTAGAGGGCCATTTTAGAACCTATAGCACATATTATTTAAGTATTTTCAAGATAAACAGAATGTATAAGTGCAATATATATTATAAATGTATATATTTGCACTCTTTCAACATAAAGGATTACCATTGCACAACAAGAATTGTGATTTAACTTTTCAACTATGAAAACAAGTTTTACAAAGATATATTTTGCCACTGAATATTCAAAACTTAAGGTCGTGAACTAGCAGTGTTATGCTGCTTTGAAACATCACTGTCACTGTAAACAACAGGCTAATAAAAATATAAATAAATAAAAATTAACAGGAGGTGTTTAAAACCTTCGTTCTCCGTGACACTAGGCTGAATATCTTTGCAGATGAACAATGCAATAGCATTCGTTATTGGCGTAGAGTAGGGTTGTAACAATATACCGGTATGACGGTCTACCACGATTTGAACGTGCACGATTATCATACCATGAACAATTGCATATCAACGGTTTTAACCCTTAAAGACCGAGACAGCCGCCCGCGGCTAAAAATAAGTATTGCTCTTAAATGTTTAATAACTTTTGATCCGCTGATCCGATTCATACAATTCAAAGATTGGCATAAAGAAGAGAATCTCAGCTTCTCTCGGCTCCGGAGGCTCCGGAATCAGTGCGGTTACGTCATCAAAATTTGACAACGCTGATTTGACAAAGAAACGCTCGTCACTGTGTCTCCGGACAAACCAGACACGATACATTGATGCATTGTCCCTCCTCCATGCCCAGATTGGTTCAAACTCGCTATATCACAACCAATTAGCATAGGTTTCGCTTTTGTTTGTGGACCAAAAACGAGCTTTTTGAACAGCACAGAATGAGAGATAGGCATACATTTATGCACGGCTAAATAAAACGCAAAAAAAAAAGTTTTGCATTAAATAATTCTCATACTAAGTACTTTTGCATGCACAGCAGCACAGAAACATGACAAAACAGTGACACAGCAAAGACGAACTGCTGCTCTTGCTGTTTTCAAAAGACGCAAATGAAGGTGCAGCTGTTTGTCTGCATTGCATACAACCATATCCAAATCCATATCCACAGACAACCATATCCATGCTGGCACATAAAACCTAAGGATGTTCCATATTGAATCTAGTTTCGTTATGTAACTATTTATAGTATAGTAAATATTTATATCTATTTTTTTACTGAGGATTTGCACCATGTTTATTTGGACTATGACACATTATTTATTATTTTCTTATTTTTTTATTTGTTCATTGTAAGTGGTGTTGTTTATAGTAACTGAAAATATATTATTTGGAAAAAGTCAAATTTGCTTCACTGTTCTATTATTTTGTAACATTTGTAACATACCGTATACCGCGAAACCGTCAAACCGTGGTATTGTTTTAGACGATTATCATACCGTAACAAATTCATACCGTTACAACCCTAGCGTAGAGCGAGCAGAACTGTTGCGCATGGAAAAAACTTTCAATGCTTTTCTCACCACTTTTGGAGCTGGTAGCTACAGTTGAAGCAGAGCAGGAAGCCGGGGATGCAGGAACACTGGAAGATGCTTCCACAACAACACCGAGGCGCCGCTTCAAGTGAGATATCAGATTTGTCGTACTGCCCATGTATTTTACAGATGCGCGGCACATTTTGCAAATTGCATCAGTCCTGTCAAGTCGTCCATCCTTTTTGCAGAATCCATAATGTTGCCATACTTTAGATTTAAAACTCAGTGAGGAATAAAATGTTTGTTTTGCTTCTCGCGCTTTCTGAGGGCGCACCACTAGCTTCATCCGCACACCTGATACACTGAGTTGTAGTGTAAGTGTACACATCCGCAAGTCCGTTGCTAATGCATACTTTATTTAGGTCGATTAAATTATGCGCCAAAAACAGGTTGACAACACTTGTTAATAAATAAAAAATACATTCTATGTTAAAAATATAAGTTGTATCTTGGAAAAACCGATGCATCTCGCAAAAACCGATGCATCTCGATTTGCTTCCAAAATTTCATTCATCCTCTGCTGCTCTACCGATGCATTCGCATCGCGCACGCGCATGACCGCGTATCGATACATATCGGTTAATCTTCCCATCCCTAGTTTACATGATTCAAACCTCACAAAATCTGTCAGCAACATGTCCACTTTGGAGTTAAATTAGCAAATTATATTATATAAACACACACATTGAAAACTTTTCATGCAAGTAAATATATATCCTAAATGTTTCGATCAGTAAAAATTTCACCGATACAACATAGTCAACATAGGCTCATTCTGACAACATAGCTCTATATACATTTCTGTAGATTGTGATTTATGTAGCCAGAAGTACGTATAACTGCATTTCATTTTTTAACGATACGGGGTGGTATGACGCCTTTCATTTTAACTCTTAACAGCTCGCCGCTTATCTTCTTATGGGCGACTTTCCGGCTGTTACCAGATTGTCCAGTTAGCTCGCTATTTACTTCGGTGGACTTGAGATGCAGAGAGGAGATGACCACAACGACGAGGTTTGAGTTCTGTATAGAAGGGTTCCAGAAACAAAAGCAATAAATAAATAAATAAACAACAGGCTGAAAATGTGGTGAAATAAAAAAAAACAGAAGCCAAAAAATAAAATAAACAAGTAAATAAAAGGTTGAGAATGTGGTAAAACTCGAGGCCTTTTCTTTTTCTAAATTGTTTTTTAAATTTGCAGGTTGGGTTTAGGGAAGTGGGTGGGTCAATCGGTGCTTATTAAAATACTATTGGTTGGGTGTAGGGAATGCGGAGTCAGTCAGTAAACAGTCAGTGAGAGTCAGTGTCAGTCGACAATGGCCTGTGGTAGATTTACGAGAGAACAGCAGGCACGAATGGCACTCACGAGGGAAATCTGGAATCTCAAAAAGCATACACACCGGCCTCTGGTGGATTCGCGAAAAAACACAAACTGCAAAAAAAAAAAGCTCCAGGGACGTATTTGGCAGTCTCCAGAAATGTATATAGAGGTACATTTTCAGAATAAGCCTGGGTTGAACATAGTATTTCATACAGTATTTCTTTGACTGTTTTTAATTTATACAGAATTGATCCTTGTTATTGCTTTCCAAAAATGAATCATCAGAAATAGCGCAGCTCATTGCAGATACGTACCCAGGTCTACATTTTTGGGGACAGCGAAATCTATAACCGTAGGTACGTCTGCTCGCAGTTTTTGTTTTTGCAAATCCACCAGAGGCCGCTGTGTATGCTTTCTGACAATCAGAAATTCCTCACGCGCGTCCTCTTCTTGCAGAAATCCACCAGAGGGTGCAATATACACTTCAGCCGACCAGGCCAGTCGATTGAATGACTGACCCACCCACCTCTGTCCCTAAACCTAACCGATAGTGTTTTCAAAAGCAATCTTGAAAAAGAAAAGCCATGGTGGCTGCATGCATTTACCACATTTTTAGCCTGTTTATTTATTTATTTAATGCTTTTGTTTTACCTGGTTTCTGGAATCGTTCCTCACTGAACTCAACTCTGCTCCTTGTACTAAGTCCACCAATGTATGCGGTGAGCTAATGGGCAAACTGGTAACACCGGAAAAGCCATTCATACAGAGATAAGCAGTCAGCTGGTTGTGCTAAAATGAACAGAAGCCGTCGGCGATGTCATACCACCCTGTAGTGCTCATTTTAAAAATGAAATGCAACCAGACGTACCTTTAGCTAAATAATTTAGGCTCTCCAGAATTTTAGACGGGTACATATTCAATATGAGCCAATGTTTGCGAAAATTACAAACAAACTCAAAGTATAACATTAGCACATATAAATAATGAGAATTTTCAATGAGAATTTGAGGGCAGAAAATGCTTTATTACCATAAAAGTAATGTCACAATTTCTTTGTACAAGTTATTTGTTCTTTTTTTTTTCATTTCACAATAATAAATCATCAGAAACAACAACAATTACAAACAAACTCAAAGTCAACATTTGTACATATAAATAATGAGAATTTGAGGGCAGAATATTGCCATAAAAATATTGTCAGTTTCCAAAAGAGGGTACTTTGGTTCCTAATGGTGCTTAATTGTCTTTATACAAAATATTTTTTCATTTCTTTTATTTATCATTATTTTTAATTTCACAACAAACTCAACTCAAACAAACTCAAACATCAGTGATGAGAATTTGAGGGCAGAATATGGTTTATTGCCATAAAAATGGTCACAGTATAGTCAAGATATTTTTTCACGCTTTTATGGTGATCTGTCTATCTAGGTCACAGTGTGTCTCTTTAATTCCTTTAAGGTATCGTGTCCATCATGACTCTCTCGGGTCTGGCATATGAGCGCTACATCCGTGTGGTTCATGCCAAGGTGGTTGACTTCCCCTGGGCCTGGAGGGCAATCACACACATCTGGCTGTACTCGCTGGCCTGGACTGGAGCTCCTCTGTTGGGATGGAACCGCTACACGCTGGAGGTGCATCAGTTGGGTTGCTCTCTGGACTGGGCATCCAAAGACCCCAATGACGCTTCATTCATTCTCTTCTTCCTCCTTGGATGCTTCTTTGTCCCAGTGGGTGTCATGGTCTACTGTTATGGAAACATCTTGTATACAGTTAAAATGGTAAGTCCATGTCTTTCTTTTAATAATGTGCCATGCAGTGGTCTTAAACTAATACGTTTTTTTTGCACTGGCTTTGTCTGTAAGTATTAAGGCTCGTACACACCAGGACACTTTTCGCTCACGTTTATCGAGATGTTTTTCTACATTCAAACCCAGGTGATTTTCATCCCCATTGACCAGAGTAAACGCATAAAATTACTCCCTGACATTAGATGGCACTTAATGAAGTTGCAAGCCATGAAAGAAAAGTAATGAAACTTACCACCGAATCCTATTTGCTATTCTCCAATGTCACAATGAGATTATTGTAGTTGCTGGTGCATTTAGCATACAGCTCTTTGGGTTCAGCTCCACATTCATTTTGCCTCAGTGAATCATCAGTTTCCTTGAATGAAAGTGAAACTGGGATCAACTCCACTGTTTTGAGGTTGAGCGCCTCCAAGTGGTGTTTGCTGTACCTTCAGCAGCTCCAGGCACATAAACAAAAGTGGCAATCTGATTGGTGGAGAAGTTTTTGACACGAAGCATCAAAACAAAAAAGAAAAAAAAACGAGCATGAGGAGTTTCTTTAAAATTATGCTTTTTACGCCTGCCACTTTGCACATTAGTGTGCACAAATCACATTGGTGCCCTTTGTTTAGTCACGAGGCATTAAAGAACCCCTATTATACATTAAAAAGGGTCATATTTTAGTTTCATGGGTCTCCAACAAACTAATATGCATGCAAGGTTAAAAAACACTTTCATTGTCTTATAATATGCATTTATTTTGACCTAATTATCCCAGCGACTCCTCTTTGATTCGTTCAGCGAATAATTTGTTTCCAAACCCCTCCTTAGCGTGAAGATAATCTGCGCTGATTGGACAGATGACTGCCTGTTGTGATTGGTCGACAGCGTTCAGCGTGAGACAGAGTGAAATGCCCAGCATGGCTTGTCAACAATATTGAAGTAGTCAGAGTGCAGAGTGTATGTGTGAGCATACCTGCCAACACTCCTGTTTTTCCCGGGAGTCTCCCTTATTTCAGACCCATCTCCAGCCACCTACCAATGTTGTTATTTATCCCGGAAAACTCCCGTAATTTCAACCTCTACCTAGGCGGCCGACTTGGGTGGCAGAATAGTGAGAGTGGCGTCAGCGAACCCCCCGGTCCTCATTTTCATTGACAACACCCACCCCCTCCCTCCCGGTCCTCACTTTCATCCGCAGACTGGTCACTTTGTTTTTAACTTTTTTTTACACTTTTTCTTTGGTTTGAGAGCGATGTGATCGCTATTCGCCTAGAGCGCCAGTTCAGCTTGCTCCGGCTCTGAGTGTTATTCAGACACCTCACCTCGAGCCCAAGGGGCTCTATTTAAACATCTATGAAAACCGAGCCTTTAGTGAACGAGCCTTTATTGATGACCAAACAAAGCTTTGCAAAGCATCAAGTCTTTCTTTTCATTTATTGCAAGAATAAATTATTTAAAGCTTTACAATATGGTGTAAGAACCTTTTTGGGGCATTGTTAATTACGCCTTAACTATAACTATGTCTTAGGTAAAGTAAATTTGGTGTTTATAATAAAATGATAATAAAGGGCAAATGTATCATATATTAAAGCAACAATATGTAAGATGTTTGCATATTTGCTAATTTTTGCAATTTTTCCAGTAGTTTTTCAGGCAAATTAAGCTATGGACATCGGAAATTGCTTGCTTTCAACAAAACTAATCAAGCTCCAATACAGTGCCTTAATTAGATTTTTTTTTTATTATTTGACAAGCTTTTGAAGCTTCTGAAACATCACTAGAAATATTAGTTATGCACCTTCAGCAACCTACTTTAAATGAAAAACCACGTCCGAAACCACATACTTCCATAACACACAGCTGCAGTATAAGCAGAGTAATGCATCCAAATTTATTCAAATATATCATTTGAAAAACAATATAGGTGAAAAGAACACAGATAACCCACTACTTCCAATGAGAGTCTGAATAGTGCATTCAATGGACACTTCACTATCCTATGATCCCTTACAAGAATTCCTACAAGTAGGATGTCTAAATTTCATCCCTATTTTTCTCACATTAAAACACTATAAAATATATCTGTAAATTAAGTTTCCATTTTTGTGATTTACAAGTTGTTTATTCCGTTTATTTTCGGTTGTTCAATTCTATTTATCTTTATTTCTATAGCACTTTTACAATGTAGATTGCATCAAAGCAGCTTAACATAGAAGCTGTAGTAAACTGAAACTCTGTCAGGCCAGTTTTCAGTGTTGAAGTTCAGTTTAGTTCAGTTTAGTGTGGTTTAATTATCACTGCTGAAAGTCCAAACACTGAAGAGCAAATCCATAGATGCGCAGCTTCACAAGTTTATGGGAATTGCATTATGAGACCTTGATCTCTGCTCTGTCGACTTGAAAGACTTTACAATTTAACAAAGTGACTTTTATTGACATTTGAGTAGTTTGAAATAATATAATGTTTAAGAAATAATATATAGAGAAATAAGTCTGTAAAATGATTTACTGGTAGTCTATTTCAAGGTTTTTGTACCGTAATATACAACACCAACCCACACAATATATCTCTTCACACTATTAAAAATTTTCCTAAATGTCCCATAATGCAATTCAAAAGCATAAATTAAAAGGGGAAAATATAAATAAAAACACAAAATACAGAAAACTGCTCATTTACGGGGATTTTTAAAATTGTACTATATACAACACTTTTCAAACAGTCAGGAAGCACATTGAAATCCAAATGTAATATCTAAACAACTAGTATGTTGATACTTTAGGGATTTTCAACCTTTAATGGATAGATAAGTGTAAAGAATTGACAGTAAATCATAGGAAACAGTGGGAAGGGGAAGGATCGACAAAGGACCTTGAGCCAGGAATTGAACTCGGGTCACCTTGGTGCTATATGTCTGTGCACTTAACTACTAGGCTTTTAGCGCTGACCGATTTAGTGTCTTCAAGTATGTATTTCATGCATTTCATGGACCCTTTTGAATTTTCTCTAAACTGATCATGATCTTCTGTGGTTTGCATGTGTCACCTCATGGTTTTTTTTTTTGCCAGTCTTAAACCTTCATCATTTTCTCTTGTTCTTTTGAAAACGCACTGTTAAACTGCAGTGATTTAGCAGAGCAAAGGGGCCGACATGCTGCTTTATGAGGACCTTTTTCAACTAAAAGCCTATTGTCTGAAGGTGTCCGACACATGAGCAGAGGCGGCGATTGAGCACGTAAATAGCTCACGCTTTCATTAGCACCACTCTTGTGCATCAGATTTTATCAGGTGTGTCGGGCAGGTGGAGCAGAGCAAGACTGCTGTGAAATCATCGGCAACTGATTGCAAACTGAAGATAAAATGCTGTTTCTTATCTCGGCTTTATGTACAGAGACAGCTATAAATAAGCCATTTATCGGTTGATTCTTTTGAAAATCATTCTGACTAGTCCAATGTGGCATCATTTTGGAGATTTCAATTTTTAAAACCAACGGCAGACTATAGAACGGAAAAGAAATTTCGTACATTACACCATAAGGAAGTGTACATGTTTCCCTTTGAGTTTGCATCTACAGCATTCATAAAGCTTTTTTGATATAATAAAGACATAGCTGACCCTTTTGGTTAAACACAAAAGCAGATATTTTGAAGAATGTTGGAAACCCGTAAGTACTGACTTCCATAGTAGGAAAAACAAACATTATGCAAGGTTCTTCTGTTATCAGTTTCCAACATTCATCAGTGTTCTTCAGTATACACAACAGGAAAAATAAGTATTGAACAGGTTACCAATTTTTTTCAGAAAACATATTTCTAAAGGTGCTGTTGACTTAACCGAATTTTGGTATTGACCAAAGAAATCCATATGTGCAAAGAAAACAAATCTAATTAGTTTACAAATTGTTATGCATAATAAAAATGAAATGATGCAGGGAAGAAGTATTAAACACATGAAGAAAGGGAGGTGTAGAACGGTAGTGTAAGCCCAGACAGCAGCTGAAATCTCTCAGTAGTCCTTCAGCAACCCTCTGCCCTTTGTTAGTGTAAATTAATATCAGTTGCTTCAATCTAACATCTACGTCCTTTTGTCCTTCCACATAACTAATTTTTCGGAATAGTTTTTTTTTTTTACTTTTATGTTTGTATTATTTGGGTTTTTACCTAAATCTGGTTCAATTCCAGCTCAACAGCTCCTTTAGAAATAATATTGTATTATTAATATTATATTATTAATGTTTAATACTTATTTTCCCCTCTGTATTACTTATTTTCATGTTTGGGTGAACAGTCCCTTTAATAAGTGAAGTTTATTTATAAGCTAATTTCGAGAGGATCGAGTGTTTATGATTTCTTGCAGCCGGACCCGCATTATTCAATTTTCAATGCACCAATCAGACAATCCCTAAGCCACTATAAATACCCTAGGTTACATATCACAGCTATCTTTGTTTTGAAGAATCCCCCCCTTCCACCCCTACTCCTCCTCCTTCCTAGATGGGTGGCACGGTGGCCCAGTGCTGAGCACTGTTGCCTCACAGCAAGAACGTCACTGGTTCTAGTCTTTACCAAGCCAGCCGACATTTCTATGCAGTTTACACGTTCTCCCCGTGCTCACTAGGGTTTTCCTCCCACCGTCCAAAAACATGCAACTTAAGTTTATATAGACTAATCTAAATCAACACCATAGACATGCTCCTACCAAGTACTAATCTCTTTAAAAGAGCAATTACAATCTGCTCTTCAGACACTATGACAGGGGAGTTCTCTAGATCTACCTGAGCTCAAACTCCCCTCTCAACTTGCAACAAGAGAGAGCCCCAGTTTTGAGGATCATGAACTCAGGGCTCTCTCGCAGGACAGCATGCCAAACTAGCTTTTTAATCAATAATCAGCTAAGTGTGAACTCTTGAAAGTGCACTTATTCAAGAAAACTTGGATAATTACAAGACTTGGATAATTACAATCCAAGTCAACATTCTAGAATAATCC